TCTTTAAACATCTGTTGTTGTGCCACTTTACATGAACATACAATACATTGAATGTAGAGTGTATCTCAGTCTGGCATGATTGACAGCAAAGTCAATTGGAGCTGGTTCAAGCTTTTCCTTCTCTTGTGGAAAAGTAAATTACTATTTAATTTAAAAGTAAAACTTATATTCAAACACACAACTTTTATTAATGTGCTTGTACTTATACCCATTTCCCCTTAGCCTTTTTTTTTTTTTTTTTCCTGGAGACATGCTCATCTATCTGCATTCACAGGTTTAAAAGATAGAGCCTGTTAGCTGTTTCAAAGCAGCTTCATTTGCTCTAAACTTTAAAGGTGTTTTTGTGAGTCTGATGTTAAAAAGACAATATTCAAGTGAGATATTTTCAAGGCTAAAGAGAGGTTAATAGCAATCTTCTTGGTCAAAAGATGCTTTCTGAATACATTCCAGAATAAATCTGGTGTGTGAGGAAGGTAAGCTGGCCTGCAGAGATAATGCATTACTGTTCTGTTTTATTTTTTGTAGTCTCTAAATTTCTAGAGTTTGCTTTTATGTCATATGTTACAGGAGAGAAGTACACTGTGTTATCTCTTTCTCCCTTTGTTCTTTTCAGGCTGCCATTGTCTTTCCCAAGCAAATACTCTCAGTTTTGTGTGTATGTTTTTACAAGAATAACACTGGACACTTGATTTTTTTTAATTTTATCTTAATGGTCTCTGAGCCTCTGCAATTTCTCAACATCCGTTTCAGTTCCAATCCTCTCTTCTGCAGTGCTCACCAAATCCCACTAGCTTTGTGTCACCTGCAGATTTTGTAAACATACTCATTAGTGAAGAAATTTAAAAGACTTTTGAAGATAACCGTGCCCAGAATGGATTTCTCTGGTACTCTGAAGTGTCCTCAGTTATTAAGCATTCATTCCTGGGTGTTGACCTGCTGTTGTTCTGGCATCCCGTTATCTTCCTGTGTGCCTGTAGTAAGAAGATTTGTTTTCTAGTTCTGGCTCTTCTTGGCCTGTTACACAGCTTGCTGCATGTGGTCAAATGTCTTTTGTTCAGTGGAGCAAACCCAGAATTCTGAACTGAAGCCTGATTTCTTAGAGAATCTATTTTGCTGTTCTTCCTGTTGTTAGTACTGCTCCTATGGCAAATGTAAATTTACCCATCTTTAAACATTCTGTGAGTTTGCCACTTAAGTACAAGAGGCAGGTAGAATCTATCATTATTAACTTATTCTGGTATTCCTTTTTAGAATCATGCTAATTACAGGGCAGTGTCAGAATACATTGTAGAACTTCAAATGTACTAGATTGAGACAAAAAATTTATTCGCTGTATGATTACAAAGACTATGGTGATTCAGTTTAGTCCAAGTGAAAAACAAGTATGGAGGACAATGGATTTTTTCTTCAAATAAGGCTCAAGTCAAGTCACTATTCAAAGAATGCCATATATTACATACATGTAATACATGTTCTGATTTTGAATGTGCTGTTAGGTTAGACAGGAAATCTAACTAGGCAGTGAATATTGTGGGCCTTTGAAAAGCATGACTTGCCCTGAAAATTCTGTATAAACCACAGTTACACAGCAGGAAAATCTTATGACTGTTTGATTAGTAGAATTTCCCCAGAATTTGGTTTTTTCTTGTCCACGTTTCTTTCCTCCAATCAAATTTATGTTCCCTTTTTTACTCACAAGTGTTTATCTTTGCACTTTTCTCCTACCTTGTTTACAGTTACCTATTTTTTTAAATTTGCTTTATTTTCTTCCAGAATTTTTTTTCCTTCATCAGTGATATTTCTGCCAGCATTATGCACAGTGACTACAAGGTGGAATTACACTATGTAAAAAATGCTCATTTTTATAAGCTACTGCTCACCATTTAAACAATGTTTGAGAAACAATTATCAGTACTTTCTCTTCTTGAGCTACAGACTGGTTTTGCCCACATGCAAACATGTTTAGGACAGTGGAATCTAAGTAAAGCTAACTGGTGTTAACAAGACTTTCATCCTCCCTGAAATGTGGTTTTTGTCATACTTAACTTCATCATATGAAAGGGGATATTCTTGTCCTGGCAACCAGGGAAAAAAAATTAAATGGTGCAGACAGAAAAGGAAACTTTAATTCTCATTCTCCGAAGAGAAAATTTGGAGATATTTTTATTTGTTTTCACAGTATTTTTCTAGGTCCTGTTCCATGTGTGCTTAGTTTTCAGATTACAAGATTGTGAATCCATAATCAAGTCACAGGTCATATGAATATATTTTTTTTTTCTACTTCTTGAGCAGTAGAGTATGTTTGCAACTTCTCAGTCATTGTATCTGTTTTCACATAATGCAATAACAACTGCACACAATTAGAAAGTACTGGTAAATTTTATAAATCAGCACACTGTATGAAGTAGCAGAATAATGTAAGAGTCTCTCCTATCTAAACATGTAACATCTGAGACAAGCCCTAATAATGTCTCATTAGCCCTCTTATCTCAGAAATGTATTTTATTAAAAGTCAGCCTAGTGAGTATGATGATAAGGGAAAACAACAGTAAAATCGAGAGAGAAATGGTCTATTAAGAGAGAATAATTTCAGTATTTCGTTAAATATGTTCTCAGCGTGCAAGGGCAATTTTGTTGCGTACTGTAACAGAGTTTTCCCAGATGAGTGACTCCTAACTGCTCAGTTACACAACTTGATCAGAAGTACCAAAGACAAGTAGCAGATCTGGGATGACTATGTTTTTCTAGAGGCTATCAAACCTGGATAAATTGGAGCCATCTCTACTGCTACTCAGCTTGAAGAGTAATGACAAGATAAAGCCTTAAGAGTGTTCTGTCTCTACTCCCCTATGAGCTCATTGCTAACTGCTACAGGTAAGTAGGACTCTGGAGATATTTTTATTTTCTATTTATACTTCTTCCTTACTAAATCGGGTGCATGAACATGAAATACAGCTACTCAAGAAGGAAGGTATGTGATTTAAGATGTGGAGTTTTGTTTTCAGCTGATCTTGTCAATATGCTCTTTCTACTTTAGTGTTCACACTCTGGTTAGGATGTAAGAATAGTTTACTTCTGTTTAGCTTTGAACAACTGATCTTGAAGCCAAAATAAATTGTTCATAAGGGGGTACAGGACAGGCCATTCAGCAATGCTAATGGAAAAAGTAGATGTCAGCTTTCTGCAACTGTTGTTTACATTAGTCACTGCTTCTAGCAATCTGCTTACACAACTATTCATATTACTTTTAACACAGAAATTCAGATAAATCAAGTTGATTTTGACTGGTAGAGTAAATTGGATGTGTCGGACATGACCCAGAAATGTGCGCTTACATCCCAGAAGGCCAATTGTGTACTGGACTGTGTGCATAGTAGTGTAGGCTGCAGGGAGAAGCCCTCCCCCTCTGCTCTGGTGAGACCCCACCTGCAGTGCTGCATCCAGCTCTGGGGTCCCAGCACTTGCAGGATGTGGACCTCTTGGAGTGAGTCCAGAGGAGGCCACCAGGCTGATGGGGGGATGGAGCACCTCTCCTGTTAGGAAAGGCTGAGAGAATTTAATTTGTTCAGCCTAGAGAAGAGAAGGCTTTGAAGTGACGACATTGCAGCCTTCCAGTACCTGAAGGGAGCCTGTTAGAAAGATGTAGAAAGACTTTTAACAAGGACAGGTATAAGGGGGAATGGTTTCCAACTGAAAGAAAGGAGGTTTAGATTAGATACTAGGAGGAAATCTATTTTTATGAGCATAGTGAGGCATTAGAATGGGTTGTCTCCATTAGCTGTCGATGTCCCTTTGCCGGAAGTTTTCAAGGCGAGTTTGGATGGGACTTGGAGCAACCTGGGCTAGTGAAAGGTGGTGCTGCCCATGGCAGGAGTTGGAATTAGATCACTTTTAAGGCTCATTTCAACCCAGGCCATTCCATGATTCTTTGATATGAACCAACCCATTGCATTTTGGCAAAGTAACGCTGCTTCAGGCTGTGTTTTTGACATGTTACAGAGAATTTCATTCTTCACAAGAAATGCAATAGGTGAAGGCAACTTTTAATCCAAGAAAAAGGGGATTCCAGAAAAAATCATCCGGTCATAAACAGGGATTAATAACTGTGATGATATTGTAAGTTCACATGGTCTAGCTTAGCCAGAAGCATTTCTGTATTAAGAAAATAGCTGTGTTCCTTTTAGAAATCCCAACGAGTTGTTCAGCCTCTTTACGTGTTTCCTACTTTATTGCATATAAATTCTGCTACTTAGCTTGAAAGAGTGTTGTGTTCATTGTTGCAGCAACTTTGCCTGCTGTCTGAGAGCTAGAGGCTGTTTGGTCTTTGCGATCTTGTTCAGTCACCTGTACGTGTTAAACTTAATGACAGTTAAAAAGCATTGTTTTAATACATGATGTTTTAATCTAGCTGTGTAATGTACTTGAGTTAACTTGCAACCATGTGCTTGAAAGCTCTGGGGAGGATAGTGATGATGATACTTCCTGTCCAGTCTGTCTTGTGCAATGAAAGGTAAGTTAGCTGAGACAGCTAGGAGGTAGTTAGCCTCTGGCAAAGAAAGTTCTCAGAACAGCTGTAGCTATATACTGTCTTCATACCTTGGAAAAAATCTTTATACTTTCAGAAACTTATGTATAAAAAGCCAGGGAATCTCAGAAAAACGGAAAGCTGGACAAGACAAACGCAGGTCTGAACCAAAGTGGTTAATCAAGCGTTCTCCGTTTATTCAAGATAAGGTGGTAGTTTATATAAGCTTCTACATAGTTTACAAAAACAAAGACACTCTGATTGGTAGGCTAACATTGTTTACCTTTTCCTTAAAACTGCCTACACCTTACACTATAAAACCTATACTAATTCACACCCAGACAACCCAGTGGTCCCCATCACACCTTAAGACTATTTCTATCTGTGCCACAAGCTCTGAATTTCTAACTGAGTCAGAGGCTTGAAGGCCTCACCAGGCCTAAATCTGAGGCCTAGACTGGAGTAGCTCAAATTTCATAACTCATGTCCTCTTTCTCTCAAAAATGCTGCAACATGTATAAATGCAGAAAAAATGTCTACCAGTAGATGAAATTTTGCGGTTTAGCAAAGATTATTCTTACCAGCGTTGCTAGAGACCTCCTATGAAAAATTACTAAACTCTTCAAGGTTCTACTAGGCTCAAATAGTGCTTCTCTCATTACAGCTCTGACAGAAATTTTAGTAGTTTGAAATAAAATATTTTAATAGAACACTACCCCTTGGGTAGGCTTCCTCTCCCATACATCATAAAACATGTTCCTGGAATTGGTCTATTAGATTCTTAAATGTTTGTGTAGATTAAACTACCAGGTCTAAGTTTGATGACGCTGTTCCAGTTTAACCTGTGATAGCTGAGGTGTGGGTATGGCGCTGCTTCTTAAGCCAAAACCATGCAGTGGTTTTTGCTGTGGGGCTTTGTGGATGTCTAGGAGTATGGAGACTGTCACTGCCAGCTTCACAAAGTCACCCTGTGCTCTCCATGAAGAGAAAATTTAGCCCATTGAAGAGACTTTACATCATGAGACACTCCATTGTCCTGGCTGGCAGAAGCAGAATGGTGTGTTAGTAATGTCTAACTGCTGCAACAGTTTGCTGCAATGCTTATGAGTGAGAGCTCTATATAATTTGCCATGCACTCTTTAATACTCAGGTGGAATGTAATGTATGTGTGAGATTGTTATCAAAATCAAAACATTGTGTTCGTGCCCACCTGATTTTTTTTTTTAGGCTTTTTAGAAGCCTTTATCAGTCTGAAAGCCTCTGTCTCAAACAGAGATGTATCTAGCCTCATGGTTTTCAATTATTTTCCTAAAATAGAAAATAATCAGAATTATTTTTTTAATAAAAGACTGTTAGTAGGGTTATAGCCTTTGTTTTAATGCTTTTTGTAACTAAAGAAGCAGAATTGGATACTACTTTTGAACAGTGTTAAAATAATCTGTTTCTGATAAGAAGATACTCAGAGGAGTTAGAAGCCTGTTGCACAGAACTTATCAATGGTTTTCAAATATTTCTGTTACCAACTGTCACTAAACAAAAATTTTTTTACAACTTTCACTTCTAGAGCATATAAAAAACAGATGCCATTTTGAATTTCTGAAAATTTACAACTTACTGAAAATATTGGGAACTTTTCTGCAAAATTAATGAGGACTTTTTCCATTATAAGATTTATATAGAATGATGCGCTCAGAGCAATAACAAAATAGAGCAAAACAACTGTCAGGTTAATCCCTGCAGCAGAGAGTGGGAATCTGGCAAAAAGTTGTCATCACTTGTTACCTATCTAGTTATAGAGGTGTTATAAAGTGTCTTAAATGACCTAAGAGTACTTGAAGAATGATAATATTAAACAATAAGGAGAAAGATTCAACTAAATCTTAACATACTAGTATCTGGAAGAAAGTAGATATATTTAGTACCTCAGAGTTAATTTGTTCAGGATAAAATATGAAAGTATCAAGGAAAATAAGACATTATGCAACTCTGGATTTGTATTGGAGAGGTGTTTGTCTAATAGGGATTTAACTCTAGTGCACTTGCTAATTTAATCAAATGTAAAGGGATGCATTTTAATGGGTCATCTCTGATTAGAAGCTTTGAAAAGCAGAATGCTTCCATTCCAGGGAGGCCAATAAGCTAGGTAAACATACAGGCTTTAGTTACAAAGGTCTTGATGTTAATATTCTGGGTGATTAAACTAGGATGATACATTGTTGTTATTATTGTATTGTCCGTAGTGCTTATAATTTTGTCCATTGTTTCTTCTATTATAGTATTTACTTCTTATTTAGCAGGGCAAATTGATTTTTCTAAGTGTGCCAGGGGTACAATCCTCTGCTTCACTATTGCCTTCATGCGTTCTAATATGTGCTAACAATAACATGAAGGAAAATGGCTGTGTACCTCGTGCCCCTGATTGCTCTCTGCCTTTTCACCAGGCCCAGCATTGTGAGCAACTTTTCAAGCAAGGCAGGTTGTCAGTGTGGTATGCCTGGGTATAAGTCTATGTTGGCATTTAGGTTCACAAGTGTTAGTATGTGTGCTATACAGACTGGTAAGAAGCACAAATGCATAGTTGTAGTAAACTTTCTCATGAGTCTTTCAAAAAACACAGAGAACCTGAATTCTGCTGGTGAACTACTAAACCTCTTCTAAGACTGGATGCATTAGATGCGTTAAGAATAATTAACAAGGAAGTAAACAAATTTTTGAGTGGATAGATGCAAGCAGATTTGAGAAGAGTAGTAAGACAACCATCCCCCCACTGACCAATAAAGTGACATTTAAAAGTTAACTGGAAACCATTACTGGAGTGCTGTGTAAGGAAACCCCAGGGACAAAGAAAAAAATATAATCAGTTACCAAAAATAAGCTATTATGTACCTAGATGTAAGGGATATAATGACAAAATAACCCCAAGCTAGCAACAGTTTAGTTGGAGATGCAGTTGTGTAATGACTGAAATAGGTATGGAACACATGGAAATCTCTTGCAAAGTAATCATTGTTCTGCACCACTGTAAACAAGCCATCTGTATTTTTGTCAATAGAAAATTATTAGGGGTGTTATTTTTAATTAATTAATTGGAATTTATTACCATGGATTGTCTTTTTTGTGAAAGAGGTGGTAATGGTTCTTGCGACAGGAAAATCGTTTTAAAGTAATAATGAGAGTTATGTCTCTTCTCTCTTTCAGCAATTCTTCCCACATCACCCCCACTACAGTCAGCCGTTGCCATACCTGTTCTGGAGGACTTGCAAGAGATTAAGCTTACTACTCCTGCCATGGTGTAGGAGAACCAGGAGAAGAAAAAAAACTCGGTACTTTTGTTAAAAAAAACTTTTGTTCCTTTTGTTAATTCTATTTGCTTCTGCTGCCTTGCATCCCTCCAACTTTTTCCTCAGAAGCCAAGGTTATGCAATTAGGAAGTAAAACCAACTCTTCAGGTTGCATAGGTTGCTGAAACAACTGATTATGTCTGTCTTATCCCAAATAAAGGTAGTCTGCTCTTCTGAGTTGCTTCCTACTTTGCCTGGGCCAAAAGCAATTGTTTTTTTCACTTGTAAGACTGAACAGGCTGCATTTTAGATCCTAGGAAAGAGTATGTTCAGAGCAATCTAAATAAAGATTGCACAGGCATGTTTGTTTCTGAAGCCACTGCACAGAGGGAGGACTTTCCAGAAGAACCCCTGAGAGCAAAGGTGTGGCACAGGGCAGATTCAAACTGGAAGGTTAACCCTAAATACACTAGCAGCATGCCAAATTCAGAAACCATCCCAAAAGTTAAATAGAAATTGTCCACTTAGAAACTGTTTAGCTAGTTGGGCAGACTTCTAGCTAGTCTCATTGCCTGCGGAATTGAGCTCCAAAACCTGTGTTTGTCACAGCATAGAATTTCTAAATACAGGAGTTGGACCATATGCATGAGTAAGGGCAATAGCAGCAAGTAGTCATTCCAGCCCAGCTATCAAAAACTTGTGGACTATTGAAGAATAACCCAAATACAGTGGGTTTTACTGCTACATAGTCAGCACCCACAGAGAATAACATTGACAGGATGTCAAACTCTATTACTCTCGCAAATCTAGAGATGCGGCTCCATTTTCAGCATCATTGATTGCTGATTGCTATTCCTTGCTTCCTGTACCTCACCTATTAAACACGCAAAATTTTGGCTGCTTTGAAGAATGAAGGATCCCTCCAAAAATATTGCTCCTTCTTCATACCCATTCTCTTTCTTGTACCTATTTCCTGTGGGTTAGACTGGATGAGTTTTTTTATTTTTGGATTTTGTGAGGGTTTTGTCCATGTTTATTTGTTTGTTTTTTTTTTTTTTTGTAAATCTGCCTTTAAATATACATGAAATCTGATTACTTGCATCTGTGTTTCTAGCTGGAATGCACGGTCTGCCTAGAAGAAAAATGGCTTTTTTCTTACATAGGAGAGGAGCTGAAGAAACACAGGAGAAGGTAAGAGTAAGAGAAAAGTCATAATAGGAATAAGAAACAAACCAAGTTAAAACTAAATTATGGGAAAATATTCAGGCCGAGGAATGTAAAATGGGCTCCTGGCAGTTAGTAGGAAGCATATGTGACTGGGCCAGTTCTTTTGCCTCCTCATGGCTGGTGCAGGCTTTTCAGGTAGCTCACATATAACTTTAAAACTAACTTATATGCTTTGTTTCATCAGATAGGCATACTTGGAACACCCTGTATAAGCAACACAGAAGCAATTGCGATTGTAGTAGGTTAGAGGATGATCTTAAGGATAAAGAAAACTTAGTAGAGATTGTAAACAAGTAACATTTTTATCATGCTACTGTGGCTCATGTAGGCTATTATTTTTTGTTGTGGTTAAAGGAGTGTTACAACAATTTAAAAAACAAATGTGTTAATGCTGCTGCAGTTGTGGAGAGGCTAAATTGAGGGTTAAGGCAATCCACCTTCAGAAATCTCAAATTTCAGTAATTATGAAAGTGCTTTTTTCCAGGCATTGCTTATTCATTCCAGGGATTAGGTTGTTGTGTAATTTTACTCAAGAAACAGCCTGGCTATTAGTAGACACTGGTGAGTAGAAAATTTGTTGTTAAAAGGACTGTGATTCTGATAGTTACCACAAGCCGTGCAACAGACAGTACAGCCTGCACATCAGGTTAGGAGTGGAGGTCTGCAGTTATAGTGAAAATTTGATTTAATGGTCAGGCTTTGCCAGAGGCCCTCTGGAAAATCAAAGCATTAGTTTCAACAATGTGCAGATGGGACTTGAAAGATCATAGATTGAACTTTTACTACTTTGTTTCTGAAAGTACACGTGTGATCTGGGTTTGTCCCTCTTCAGAAATTCTTTTATTTTTAACTCGGATAACAGCAAGTGATTTGCTGCCAAAACATTATGGAACTATGCTGCACATAGCTACCATATTTTCTTGTCTTGACAAATACTACCTTCACTGGGTTTTTTTTGTATCTTGGCATAAAGAAAGTGGAATTTAATTGCATTGGAAGCTAAATTGAGTAGACTGTATTGATACTCCTGTTCAGATCCCTTACACTGGCCTTCTTTTTATGTACTCCTGGCATATGAAGCCACGTTAACATGTGATGGTAGAATTTCTAGCTAAGCATGCCATGATGGTGCATTTTCTCCCCCCTCTCTTTCTTTAAGTCTGCAATTACACTGTGGAGAATAACTTTCTTGTGCTGAAAATGTAATTTGGCCCAACACCTAAATTCTTGCAAGTTAGATAATCCCCACTTTGAAAGCACAAAGACAGCATGAAATTTCCCTAAAAAAAGAAATAATTAGTGGCAGATATATGAACAGCACATAGAGGTCAACTCTTTATCCAATGATCTAAGTGGCAGAAATGCTGAATCTGTGTTGATACAGTGAATTTCCTCTTTCAGCTCAATAATTAGCATCAATTACTTGATGGGAAGAAGAGGGCTATTTTGAATGCATTTTGTAAAATAACCATGGTCAACAAGAATTTTGACAGGTAGGTTTAAATGCTTGTAGTTTTAAATTTGAGTCTCTTTAGTAAAAATTCTATAGAAAACAAGGTGTGCAAGAATAGATAGTGATAATAAATAGTGACTTATCTAACCCTTGTAATGATTTGCTGAGTAATTTCCTGAGGTGGAAGTGTTTGTAGGAAGATGTACTTTGGTTTCAAATACAAGAAGGGTTTGTAAACATATTCAAATCACTGTGCACATGGCAGCTTTGTTTGCTCCTAGAACCTATGCTAGATTGGTTATATATATTAGAAATCCTATGCAACATTAGTTAATTTTTGAAACAGTTACATTATTGTGTAATTAATATCTTTAAAGATTTGTGAAAATACTTTGTTTTCTTTCTAATACCATAGAAGTTCTGCTATCCATCCAATCATAGATGCAAAAATTTGCATTACAAAGTTATTTTGGTGCCATCTTTAAAAAGCACATTACAAGTGTGCTGCAGTATTGGGCCTTGCTGGCTTGCCTGCTAGCTGATTGCTGGCTGGGTATCTGTGACTGTTCAGTTCCAAAAGAGCCATTTTGTGGTTGTGAGGTTTGGGGTTTTTTTTGCAATATGATTCACAATCCACTTTCTTCAAGATCCACCACCCACGACTACTTTTTGGACAAATTTAGGACTGAAAAGAGGGGACTCAGTAGTGACTGAGTCACTTCTGTTGTGTGCCGACAAGTTGCTCGTTTGCTGATTAGCCATCTGCTTTTGATCTGGATTATATCCAGACCTGCTCCAGCTGGCCAGAGAATGGGAATGTCAGCTGTAGTCAAGGATACCTGCAAAGCACTGAGAGCTGCAGCAAAGCATCTTTGAAGAGAAGCACAGGGAAAGGCAAATTAAAGGGAAGGCAAGGGAAAAATAGAGGCAAGGAGCCAATTTCTGATCTCAGCATCACTGATGTCACCAATACAATTTTGGTCCACAGTGCTGAGGAAATGAGAATAGAAACAGGTCAGAGGGAAAGGTGACAGACTAGCACAGATGACAGCAAGGAGAAAATTAATCATGTCTCAACTGTAATCTTAATGGCTACTCTGCTTTAACACTTGAAATGTCTCTTACTCATCCAAGAGCATAAAATGAATAAAATCTTTCGTACAGTTTGCTTGTATTTCATAGCAACTTCAGACAGGAATTTTTACTAGTGGTGCTCTCATCTGCAGATCCATTTGAAAAGCAACATGCTTTTCAGATCTAATGAAGAGGAAAAGGTTTAAATCTCCTCATGTTTCCAGTGAAATCCTATAGTAACAAACTTATACTTAAGATCTTCCTTCTTGTAGTGTTCGATACATTTCCAAGGTTGCTTAATTTGCTGGTGAATACCAATAAGTTTCAACTATGCTTTAGGATGTGTTTTTGTAGAAAATTGCAACAAACACACAAAAGTTATCTTCCTGGAATATTTTCTTTTGCAAATGGTCATGAAACTCTATTGGTGAATCAAAAAAGATGAAAAAAGATGTTAAGCTTGCTGTGAGGATTTTTTAGTTGTTTCACTAGACCAATCATTCTGAAAGTAGTTTTTCTTCTTCTAAAATGAGGAACAGAAAGTATGAATTAATAGCCTCTCACCTGCTTTCAAGTATTCATCAATCTAAAAAAGTTGTGTTCAATATTTTGTTCACAGTGATTCAATTCTAAATTTTTTAATTTTTTTGAACATTTGCCCCTGGAAAGTTGTTGGTCTTTTTTTTTTTTTTCACGTGTTTTGGTTTGGTTTTTCTTTTTTTTTTTTTTTTTTTTTTGGTAGATTGACCAACAATCATAAAACTAAGGCAAATAGTCAATTTAATGTGTCTAGGTACCACAAGGGTTAATATAACTCAGCATGATAATATACATTGCAGTTACTGACTTTCACTAAAGAGAAATAAGGCTTTGGAATTCTTTGTCCACCTGAATAGCAGTATGATTTTTGGAAGTGTTTGAGAAATCCCACTGAACTGAGGGAAAGGAAACAATGTCTCATATTCCTATTTGTAAATACTTGGAGGCCTGATCTAGCAATAAGGTGTACTATGTTAGTTTTCTGACTGTTGCATTAGAAGGAACAAGTGTTTTTTGCTGAAGTTTTTTTTTTTTTTGTAAGCGTGAATTTCTAGGAGATGGTCTTTGACTTGAAGCTGACAGATGTCAAGTCTGAAAAATCAACTCTCACAAAAAAGAATAAAAAACAAAGAAAATTCTCCTTCCAGTTATTTACAGTCTTAGACATAGATAAGAGATACTGTATATTAAAACATAGACATACCCCTGCCCCTAGAAACAAAACTGTCATCTGAGGTCAACAGTTTACATTAATAAGATATTTGAAATTCTCATTTCCCGATATTTCTGTAGCAGGTTGATTTCTTTTGTTGTATATTACCCAGCCATGAAAATTTGCAAGTGGAAACAGTCTTACAGCCTCAGACAAGCCCCTGCTGAACAGCTGCTCACATAGGACTGTCCTTGTACTTCAGCAGCATTGCCTGCAGAATTTAACTCATCATGTTTACAGATTTCCAGTTTGAAACCTAAACAAAGCAGGTGTGTGATTAGCTAATTAACACAGCCAGCTGAGCTTTTTAAAAATTAATTTAAGTATAAAATATGTGACATACAGATAGCAGTTTTAATACTTCTGGATGAGGTCTTTCCTCCTAATTTGGAAGAAGCTTCAGTAGGAATAGATATCTATTAAATGAGTCAAAAGGATTGTGTGATACTTTAATGAAAGTCAAATCATGTTATTCAGAAAATATTTAAGATTAGAAAATATCTGTAATTTTCTGCAACTCAGTTCCAAAGTTGAAGAAATTTCATAGTGTAAGATGTCTTGCTGTAGTAAATTTATAAAATACCTTAATGCTATAATTTTGGAAAAATAAGGATAATTTGTTTTTCATTTTTGTTATTTCTGTATTTCTTGCAGAAATAAATTTTGGTTCCCTTAGCAGCAGCTGGAGCTGAGTTATGCTCTGTACTTCCTAGTAAAATTGGTCTAGGTACAACCATTAGGGACAGAAATTTGCATTAAGCTGCTAGTATAAACTTCAATATGCTATAAATGCAGCCAGTCCACTTTTTACCATGGCAGCTTCTTTATTGGTCCACTGAAAAATATTCTCCCTACAGTGATCCTCCTTGTAAGAGTGATCTGGTCTTTGTTGTATGCTGACTAGGAAATGTGAGTGAAACCCAGGATGTGATTGTAAAGGTTTCTTCCCATCAAGCTTGATTGGCTTTTCTTTATTATGTCTTAAATAAAAAAGTCTGGTCCTGCAAAGATAACCTTCTCCATTTGGCTGGGAGAAGGAGTCACAAGATGATCATGTGCAGCACACCTCCATGCTTCCCTCTTAGCAGATCTTCCTCTCCCATCTGGACGCTGCTAGACTGGAGGTGAACCCTGTCCTGCACTGGGTTGGTCCAAACTAGATTCCACTTCAGCTGTTTCCAAATA